AAAACCAATAGTAAGCCATTATATGGATTTTATGGTTCTCCTGAAGGGAGTAAGAAGGAAGCTGATGAGAATCCTCAAGGGAAAAATGGCAAGCCCAATCTGGGGACTGTGGCATACCACCAAGTGCTAGGCATGAGGAAAGTCATCATCATGTCTTCACACACCCATCCTGGTTCTAGACACAGGCCCCACTTTCTCCTGGGTCTGTCTCAAGAGAATAGAGGAACTGGAGAGAGCAAGTGGGAAGAGAAAATGGCAGCCAGCTCTTCCAAGTGAGGCCAATGGCAAATAGCCGGCGTGTCAGAGTTGTGAGAGGGGCCAGCCTGCCTCCCAAGCAGCCGATTGTGAGACATTTGCAAAGATGTTGACCCCATGTAAAAAGTGTGCCATTTGATAATTATATAAACTAGCTGGCAATTAGGTAATGTCACTTTCCTGCTAGATTCCCACATAACGGATGAGCATTTGCCCTTTCTACACCAGCCCAGGCCCTCCGTGCAGGTCCTGGGGCAAACCACCTGTACCTACAGCTACCTGGGCCATCCTAAGACTCAAGACAGGGTTGAAGCTGGCTGACTGGATGGAGAGGGGTCCCTGCTCCCATTTTCCCGTGTCTTGAGCCTTGTGTAGCTCTGCTAGAAGGCTAGAGAAGGCTAGAATAAACACCAGGGTGGTTGTCTTGAGACCTGTACTACTTAATGTAAGGTCATCTTTAGCTTTTGGCCATATTCAAAATTTCTCAAAGGCCGTGAGAATGTCCACAATCCAAGAAGGCAATGGAAGGGCAGGACATAGGGTGTAGAGTCTAGATAAACCCAATTCTGATATTACCAGTCCTGAAATCAGATTTTGCCTTGCACCTGTGGCAAAGAAAACTTGGTTTTCCTCAGCCAGCCTTTTTTTTTTTTTAAGATTTTATTTATTTATTCATGAGAGGCAGAGAGAGAGAGAGAGAGAGAGAGAGAGAGAGAGAGAGAGGCAAGCAGAGACATAGGCAGAGAAGGAGGCTCCATGCAGGGAGCCCAATGTGGGTCTCAATCCCTGGACTCTGGAATCACGCCCTGAGCCCAAGGTAGATGCTCAATTGCTGAGTCACTCTGGTGTCCCACAGCCAGCCTTTTTGAATCTCCCTCAATGCAGGCAGGAGGACATTGGTGTCTGCAGTGTTGGACATACCTCTGGACTGGAGGGAAGGAATGTGAATCTGATGTGAGAGACTCAGCAGGCAGGTGGAGCCGTTACCCCAGAACAGGCTAGGAAAGTTCCCATGATCCTCCTTATAGGGGAGTGTTCCTGGGATGCTTAGTTCTTAATTCCTGAATTTCTTCAGATCACTAGGCATGTGCTACTTTGCCTTTTGGGATCATCCAGAGGTTGGCATCCAGAGAAGTATGGGGACTCAGGATTGCTGTCGTCATATAAAGTGGGGTGGTGTTGTGGCCACTGAACAGAAGTCAGATGATCCACACTGATGTTTATCAGCTTCTGTTTTCACTTTCCATTCTCTACATATGTTTCCTGAGCTCCCACTCCATTGCCAAGGCCCTGTGGCAGGCACCATGGTGAAGCAGACCCTGCCCATAGGGAGCTTCCTATCAAGTTTCTAGAGTCTAGGCTCTTTGTCACTGTGCTTTGTGTCTCTGAAGCACACTTGACCCTACTACTTTTTGATGCCCTTGAGGGTAGGAATGATTTCTTATTCTGCTTTGATAGAACAGTGTCTGGAATGGATCAGAGCTCAATAAACAGATTGAATTGAGCAAATCATTTAATTTATGCAGACAAATAAGTGACTTTCAGAGGCTCAGAGGTAAATTGATAAATAGTATAGACCAGTCTGGATGTTTCAAGTGTTTCTCATGTCCCTACTCATCCATAATATTGGGCCCTCCATCTCTGTGTCTTTTCCTCTCACAGAAGGCCTCACTGGCTTTGGCCATCTGAGGCTTTGCCTATCAACCAATGGACTCCTTGGTCTAAACTGGCAGGACAGGGAGTGGAGAGGGATGCTCCCCCAAGAGGTGAAGCAGCCAGGGTACTGTTACTGAGAAAGTTGTCCCAAGCCTCTGGGGCTTATCCATCCTGGACTCCGTTATGGGCATGTGGTTTCTATATTCTTGGCTCATCAATAACTCCAGAATTAGAGTACCCCCTAGAAGAGGCTTATTCCTTCTGCTTACACCTGCCTTGTTCCCTCTTTTCTTGCCTCTTCCCACTTATCTAAATCAAACCTATGATGGGGGGGGGGGACAGAGGAGCAGCTGTTCTTTGAGCACATTCCCTGAAAGCGGCCTTTTTCAACCATTTGATTTAAGGATATATGTCAATGTGGCAGTTGTTGAAACCAGGAGGCTTCTTTTCAGACCAGGGTTTCCTCTCTCCCTAGGATATTACCTTTTGCCTTGGTTGGCATACCTCACCTCATACAATGGTCATATTCACAGAGACTGGGTCCTTACCTGAGAATCTACCTCTGGCTTCATGTCTTCCACTCTTTACTCTAACAGCACCAGCCTACTTGCTGTTCTCCACACATATCAGCCTGCTCCACTCTTAAAGCTTTGTGCTGTTACTTCTGGAACATTCTTCCCATGGCTAATTCCTTCACTCTCTTTCAAGGCTTTCCTTAAATCTCACTTTCTCAAAGACTCAGATTTGTGGTATTTGACTATTTCCATGGTGTAAATACTCCTAGCATAGTTGATTTCATGCTACCAAAGTGACCTTAACCAGCTCAAAAATGTCTGAAGTTTTAAGAGTTGGTTCTGACAAAGCCCATATGATTTGGCACTTCCACACTGCTGTGTCTGTGTTCCAATTAAGCATCTTTTGTGCTACAGGAGGTACCCATGCCACACTTGGGAAACACTACTTGGATAAAACCTTTTATAGAATAAAGGCTTTTCTTGCACTGGATTTAATCAACCTCTTGTTGATTTGGTTTGTTTGTTCAGTGGGAATAGATGATTGTTCCTGGTTAAGGAACATTTTCTTCTTCAAAACTGGGGTAATAACTAGCTTAGCTAATGCAGTCATCATAAAAATGGTGGTCAGTAATGGTCTAATAGAGACTATGATGAATTATCAAATGTGTCAATTAATAAGCAGCAATTTGCACAGCTTTCAGAAATCATACTCATTGCTCTTACGTGAACCAAGAAGTCTCCGTTTGGCTCAGTGGATCAGAGTCTGCCTTCAACATCTAGATGACCCACTCGACGAGGTGTTGGTGCATTTCCAACCAGTATAAAATATATGTAATATGTTCTAGGTTTGTGCTATTCCTCATTTCTTGTTCATTCTGTAGTTTTTAAAAAGTACTTATGGTTTTATAATCCTATCCCTTCTCCACAGACATCCACACATTCACACACATACAGATACACATCAATGACTCTTTTACCCATCCCTTTCAATCTAGAAATAAGAAAGTAAAGAATGTAGTATTTATTGGTCCCTACTATGTATGTGGCCTCATGCTAGGGTCTTTTCATACATGACTTCATTGTATCCTCTCTCCAATCTTAAAAGGAAACTATTTTCTTCTGCTTTATCAAGGAAGGAATAAAAGTTCAAATAGCTTAAGAAATTGGCTCAAAGTTCCACATAAAAGAACTAGGATTCAAGCACAGCTTTTCTTTAAGTCTCAAAACACATTTTTTTCCTAGGAGAACTTTTCACCAACATGTATTAAGAGATCAGTTATTTTCTTCATTACTCACTTTCTAATTTATTTCTGCTGATTTTTATAAATATTTCTTTCAAAAACTTAAAGGTGGGAATCTGTCTTAGGCTGCCTATACCCAGGCATTGGTTTGTTAAATTGAAAAAGAAAAAAATCTAAAAAGAAATCTGCGTCATTTCATGCCTTTTATTAAATAGTTAAAATTATGTGTGTGCATTTGAGTGTATAAAATATTAGCACTTAACAATAAATTTTAGCTATGTGACCCTGTGATATGATATTGTAAAAATGTGCTGATATGGCTTTGGGAGTTTTATACTATTTTTGCATATGGAAAAACCTTGTGCATCATTAGGCACTGAGCTCAGGGTCCTGCCACGGCTCTGGAAGAACCTGAGCCCTCTCTCCTGTTTATTTTTTTCCTTTTTAACTTTTTCCCCCTCTCTCCTATTTCTCCCTCTCTTCCTGCACTAGGCATTGTGGGAATCATTCGAATAGCCTGGCTTGTAGTCAGCAATCTATCAATATTTGTGAAATAAGGTGCAATATTTTCGTGCCCCTGCACTAATCTTTCTCTTCTTTCTGCCTACCCCCTTTCTCCCTGCAGGTCCTTTTCTGGAGTCCTGGGAGGCAGGTTATGGGCAGGACTGCCTCTGGCCCACACCATGAAGCCTGAAGCTGCTTCGGCTCTGCCCTGGGCCCTGCTGTGCCTGAGCACTCAGCCTTGGGCTGCCCCGCTCCCTGCAGCCCCCCACTGCTAGGAGGTAAAACCTCAGGGCTGGTCTTTGGCCTGTTTCTGCGTTTCACCTGCCTCACCTCACTGCTGACGCCTCCTCCATCACGGCACCCCCAACCCAGCCCTCTCCCCGGCCTCCTTGGCTGGGGTGTGTGGGGGTCCACCGGGAGGAGCACATTGCTGAAGGCTTCCACCCGCCGTGTACCTTCACCTCCTCCTCGAATCAAGGCCTCCGGATCCACATGGATAGCTGAGATCTTTTCTTGGAGAAAGACACTGCTCCTGACACTAGTCCCCCACTCTCCCACCTGACTCCCCCCCTCCCCTTCTGCTGCCCTGCCTTTTCCCTCTGCCTTTTTATTGAATTTCTTGCTTGTGCTCCTGTCTGGGGCCGTCTTGTTCACTTTCCTTCTTCCTCACCCTCTGGATATTTGTGTGTGTGCCTCCTTCATCTCGTCTCGTGTGCTCTCTGTCCCCTGGCCTGTCTCCTCTTCTCTCCCTTCCACTGCCAAGGGGGATCGTCCCCTGAAGGCCGTTCCCTGCCAGTCTGCTCCTCTGGGCTCAGACCTGGCAGCCACGATGAGCTTTCCCGTGCACTCGGTTTTCTTCACCCTGAAGGTGAGCGTCCTGCTGGGGTCGCTGCTGGGCCTCTGCCTGGGCCTCGAGTTCATTGGCCTCCCCAACCAGTGGGCCCGCTACCTCCGCTGGGATGCCAGCACACGCAGCGACCTGAGCTTCCAGTTCAAGACCAACGTCTCCACGGGGCTGCTCCTTTACCTGGATGATGGTGGCGTCTGCGACTTCCTCTGCCTTTCCCTGGTGGACGGCCGCATGCAGCTCCGCTTCAGCATGGACTGTGCGGAGACCTCTGTGCTGTCCAACAAGCAGGTGAATGACAGCAGCTGGCACTTCGTCATGGTGAGCCGCGACCACCTGCGCACGGTGTTGGTGCTTGATGGCGAGGGCCAGGCGGCCGAGCTACAGCCCCAGCGGCCCTACATGGATGTGGTCAGTGACTTGTTCCTTGGAGGAATCCCCTCGGACATACGACCTTCTGCCCTGACCCTTGATGGAGTACAGGCCATGCCGGGCTTCAGAGGATTAATCCTGGATCTCAAGTATGGCAACTCAGAGCCTCGGCTTCTGGGGAGCCAGGGTGTCCAGTTGGACGCCGAGGAACCCTGTGGCGAGCGTCCCTGTGAAAATGGTGGGATCTGCTTTCTCCTGGATGGCCACCCTACCTGTGACTGTTCTACCACTGGCTATGGTGGCAAGCTCTGCTCAGAAGGTAAGACTTTCTTCCCTAGCCCTCTCCTACTAGAGACCACCCACTGGGTTGTATGAGGGCCAAGACCCTTGATAGAAACCAATGCTATTGTTGAAGGACATCTTTAGTTACATATTAGATAATTGGGTTCCTTTCCCTGAGGAGGTGGTAGAAATCCTTTGATTGCCTTCAATGGAAAACCCTCCACATCTCAGCAAGAAGAGGATCCTGGCTGCTCAGTCATGGGCTCTTTACTTAAATGTTGGGCTGTACTCAAAGGGCTAGATGGAGTGGACTGCTGGATGTGTGCCCCAACTTGGCCCCTTCTACTGCAGCACAGCTTAGTAGGGTCAGTGTAGAGCAAGAAATCCAACAGAAATGGGCAAAATGGCTGGTTACCTCCTGATCCCTTGAGAGTTGCACACTTGGAATGGTTAGGAAACTCCCCATCACTTCCATCTTAACCCCCAGGATGAAGAATGTCCATGCAAAGGAGAATGAGGGTGGATGGATTGTAGGTCATGCTTGGCCCACTGTCTTCCCAGCCCTTCCGTTTGCTCCTCCTCCCACCATCTTTGGGGGAAGTGTCTTCAGGGTGGATGAGGCATCTGGGGATGGGCCTACTCACCACCTCATTCTAGCAGTGGGCTTTTTCATATGAGGTTCTTCTTTCCTGTCCTCCTTTCACCTCTCCATGTACTGAGAATGGTGCAGGAAGGCACAGAGACTGACGGACGGGACTCTTGTCTAGCTAAGCCCCTGAGGGATCTGCCAATACTCAGCATAGCCTTGGAGAGACTCCCAAGTTCACCTGTAACTTCCTAGGGAGAGTGAAGGGGGACTCATGCCCAAAGGCTTAGACTGCCCTCATTTCATTCACCGAATTCTAACTGGGATTAGATGTGAGAGAAGTGGTCCAGACTCCACTTTGACAAATACTTAAAATCCCGATTCCTGGATGCCAGGACTCATTGAAGGCCTAGCTCTGAGCAGGAGGAAGTGTTGAAGTGACAAAGAATGTGAGAACTGACCATAGGAATATGTGTGCTGGGAGGTTAGGATGAGGAAGAGGTAAAGAAATTTGATTTTCTCCTATTCTTTTTGAGTCAAACCCTGGATTCTTCTGGAAATGTGTTGACATCTCATTTTCTCTCCATGGAGGTGATGCGATGGTATAGGGCATAACAATAGTTTTCAACCATGGCTGCACATATTAGGATCACTTGGGGAAGTTTAAAAACTCTTGAGCCACCCTATGGACCAATTCAATCAGAATTTTCTGGGGAGTGGGATTCAAGCATCTGCATATCTTTAAACTCCCCCAGTTGATTCTATTGTGCAACTGAGATTAAGAACCAATAGGGCAAGGGAGGTCAGGGAGGTGGGATCAGAGGAGTGCCTCAGCACTGACTCCCAGGATTTCTTCCTTCTGGTGAGGCCCCTGCCTTGCAGTTTGTAATTAAATATGGTATACGCAGGTGTTCCTGAAATTGTCCCACAACAGCCCACCCAGCCTAAAGCAGGTTGTAATTGATATGAACTTTAGTCACTACTATTAAATTTTGTACAAATCAAAACAGTTTATTTCACAGGTGATACATGCTGGAGACGAGGATACTTTGAGGGGTCTTGTTGGGGGCCCCTTTATAGGTTGTATGGGGGCTCCTGCAGGAGCCCTCCCCAAGTCTCTGCTGCTACTTTATTTGGCTGGACTGCGCTGAGCAATACGTCTCCTTCCTGTGGATGGGCTGCAGGAGAGGGAGATTCAAGACATGCATGCCATCTTTTTTTGGCTTCTGTTTTCCCATGGAGCCTATTGGAAAAGCGGATGGGGAAGAGGAGCCGAGGCAACCCCAACCCACAAAGCCACTTTGGGAATGTGGTTATTGAAGCACTTCTTATAAGCAGGTGCCTTCTGGAGCTGACTGCTGTTCCAAAGCTTCTTGGCTTTGGAGAAAGTTCTGCCTGAAGACGCTGACATGATCACTTGTTTTCTCTTTCGTCCAAAGGATCTGTTCTGTTCTCAGAACTTGCATTGAAAGCTGACATTCTTCCTTTCTACGGACTAGGGTGTTTGCAAGTGTGTTGTTAACTTGCTGATTACCCCTGATTGCATTTTTTGTGTTTAAAAAGAACTCATTTCCTCTGGGCAGGTCTGGATCAGCACTTTTCTGAAGGAAGAATCTCTATACTGTGTATGTGTACAATTTGTCTTTTCTCTCTTTTGGTGTGTGTGTGTATGTGTGTGTGTGTGTGTGTGTGTGTGTGTGTGTGTAGTGTTTCAGGTCTCTAGTGGCATTTCTTTAGAGCAGATTGTAGACAGTCAATCTTTTAATAGCTAAATACAACATGGATATTTCAATAATAGTTCTTTCTGCAGGGTTCAGATCATCTAGTTGCTGTGGATTGATACCTCTATCTGAAGAAGGGAAACACAGAGCACAGCTCATTTATTCTCCTGATACATAAATAGAGTAAATAACTCTGTAGTAACAGTAACACTTGGTTGGCTTGGAACAGAGCAGTGCAAAGGTTGAGGTGAGGGTGGTTGTTGAGGGAGGTATCAGAATTGACTGTTGATAACTTGGAGCCTGTTGATCCTGGTACTTGTCATTGTGTCTAATCAATCACAAAAAAACACACCACAGGCTTTTAGAAAAGATCTGTTCTCTCCACACATAGTTAACTCTTAGGTAGTAGGCAGGGTGTGTGGGGTTGGGGGAGGGACACTCATCTGTAAAATATTAAGGGGAAAAAATTACAGTAGCTGCTAAGTGTCAAGTAGATCTGCACAAAACAGTAAAAATAGCCTAAACAAATGCTTATCCATTTTCCTGAAGATGACATGGTGAAGTGGGTAGTATGGGGCATCCATTCCCCTCCCTGCCCCCTTTAAATTGAACATATCATAGACCTGAAACCAGGGTACTTATTCCCAGTGGTTAGTGCTGTGGGCTAGGCATCTGATTATCCCAGTTTGTAGGATAGGACTTGACATTTGATTGTATGAGGGCTTGCACCCAGTATGGAAGATCCGTTTTGTACTTCATGCTTTAGCAGTTCAAGAGCAGGAAGAGCTGGGAGGGCTCCTGCAGCTTCAGATGGATATGGTCAGGGCCTGTTGGAGGCACTCTCTGTGGTCCATTAGCTTCTAGCATGCCAGCGGCATTGATGTTTGCTTGGCCTGTCTGGCTTTCCATGCCATGATGGCTACAAAATGTCTTCATGCTGCACCCTGGGAAGAATGCACAGATGGGCCCATCTCCTTTATGTGCTTTGGGCTGTTTTGATCCCTCATTGGGTATCTTCTCTAGGAAAGACCCAGAAGACACCAGAGATAGCTGTGTGAGCAAGTTGGGCCAAGAAGTCAGAGGTTGTGGACTCAGTGTCTTCTTTCATGTGGTGAAATGTTACTCACTCTGGCGGCAGGCTGAACTCCACACAGCCTACTTGAGAAAACTTCATTCCAAGGCTCCCAACCTAATTAATGGTCACATGGAACATTCTGGCATGTGATGGAGAAGAAGTCCCAGAATTTTACTTCTAGGTGTTATGTTTATAAGTAAAATGCTTTGGTGCTCAACTTCAGACTTGTTCATGCTGAAATTTAATCTTACCCTCTTAGTATGGGACTTAGAGGACAGAAGAAGCGCCAAGTAGTTCATAATGACTTTAAAATTATGCATATCTGTTTTGGACTATAGTCCAGCTCTGGCACAGCATATTCACTGGTTTTGGTCTAGCCCAGTCTGTCCCATTACGGGTGGCCTGGAAGCTCACTGGGCAATGATGAGGGATTCCTGAGCTCCCCCGAGAGACCTGTCCCCTCATGGGTCATTGAGAGTTTACTATTACCTTGAAATACGTTTAAAATTGTTTATTTTTAAACCATTCTTAGTTATGAATGTGCATGTATTGAATTTCTTAGCAATCTTATGGTCATGAAGAAATGATTCTCTCCCGAGGTGTGTGCATTTCAGTACCAGTCTTACTGAAGAGCTCATGTAGTATGGAGTCAGTCAGGGAAAGATATGGAGAAAGCATCACCTGTTGGTTTCTCCTTCCAAGTCTCATTACATGGGTCTACCTACGTCACATACCATTTGTGTGGTCAAGAGGCATGAGGTCCTATTTAGTCGGGAAAAAACAAAGTGCATTGTCTGCTATCTCTTCCTGCTGCCTTGGGCAGATGCCCAGACCAGAAGCTGCTGTCTTGAGTCTCAGCTCAAGTTTTCCAGTGTTGTGATCCTATAGTGAGGTATAGTAGTGGGCGTTGGTGGTAGGGGCCAGAGCCTTGTTACAAGTATACTGTCGAATGGTATCCAAGGGCCTCCCCTTCCCATCCCTCCTGCTGTCTGAAGCTGACACCCTACCCAGGTTGATTGGATTGATGACTCAACACCACTGTGTGGCCTTGGTATGCCTTCCTGAAAGTGAATTTCAATTACTTTTCTTTTTTATTGAGAATTTTGTGACTCTTCCCCCATTTATCAAAGCCAGAACTGGAATGGAATGGTATATACCAAGAGACTGCTTGCCCCTGAGGATTTACCAAGGGCCAAAGACAAAGGATGCTGTAGTTAAGGTACTCACCATGGCCCAGCTGATCCTTCTGTTCTGGGCATTTGTGTAAAAACACAGACACCCCCTTCCCCCTCCTCCTCTGTGCACTTCCTGCCTGAATTGTAACACATCTTTGTTCTAACCTGTGTCAACCCTGCGTGGCCTGGGGATGGGAGTGGGGGCTGCAGGGGAAGCAGTGAGTAATCAGAGTCAAGACTGTCTCCTTGCAGAATCCTTCTCCCTGGTGTGGAGACGGTAGCACAGAAGCAAGTCCTTACAACACTGCACAAAGGAGAACTGCGGCTTCTGAGACTTGATTCCCACCCAGCATTCAGGCGTTAGGTGGGACCAGCCCAGCCAGCCAGCAGGGGCTGTCGCTAAACGGAGCCTGAATAGGGGTCTGATTGCTCCTTTTTCCTCCTCTTCTCCTGATTACCAAGTGAGATTTCCTGGGTATG